ATTATTATTCGAAGAATCGTTTATTAAAATATAAAACCGTGACGGTTTAAAACGGATAAAAGTATTATGCAACATACTGTTGTGCATCCGTTTGCAGTTGTATTGGTTAGGACACAGTAGGCACCACAACGTGATATTTATTCAACTGTAAAACGTTTAACGGATGAAAGAGCTTTTGAATTAAATACGCGTTTTCTATCAGATCGGATTGTGTTGTTGATTTTATCTCTAATGATCGTCGTAAATCGTTGTTAACACAAGAAGATTGACCGACGTAGTAGCGTTTAGGTTACAACATGCACGGTTCACCATAATAATCTCTTAATATTTTGGGGCGTGGACATCATTTAGTTTTGAATTTAAATGCGAATCCAAAGTTAATTTCAAGGTTTTCGGCGATATAATGCGTCCACGAATTATGCTATCGGCGTAATGTACCTACCTGTCTCAGCATCACGACCGCGGGTACATCAACAGTCCACTTGAACTCTTCGCTTTATTGAAGTCCATTCTATTATCTCATCGTGTGTCTTGTACAGATATGTTCAAGTCTAGCAATTATCTTGACTATGAACGCATAAAGTCGTATGAACAATCTTTAACAGTCTAAATCTAATGCGTAATACGTCACTAAAAATCATAATGTCTTGTGGGACAAAGTAAACGAACATAATGGTTTCTTCGATAAATTGCAATGTAATCTTCGGTTAATGGACGGCAGTTATCATTTGTCTGTCGCCGACGACGCTATAAGCTCTAAAGGGTCAAACGATTTAACGTCACCTTGAAATATCGTGTGGAAGAGTCGACCAAATTTATTTTTTTGTCTTATGCCATCGTGCATCGTACCTATGAAAAATCTTCGATTTTTACCGCCGTGTAATAGTATAATGTTAATAGTATGGTTGTTCGATACGTTATTTGTACTTAATTACCGCCGCATCACGTTCGGCTTGATAATAATTTACCATTCCATTACTCTCTAATAAGAACCCGATGGAAGCTTTTATGTCCTACGAATCTCATTAATAGAGAACATAATTTATATTCCACGTCAATCAAAATATAAAATGTAACTATACTCCGCGCCTCTTGTAACTTTGTCGGCGGCTAAACAAAAAAAAAAAGACCCGGATCGGACATCATTGTAGGATAGAGTACATTTTTCGTCGAATGAACATGTAACCCTACATATTATTATGTTCTTGCTGCCGGACAAGGAATCCACAACGCTTGCGGCCAAAGTATGTTTATATACTTCTACTATGTTATACATGTAATAATGGTGCGTGGCATTTCCGTAGCGTACGCCTGTGTGGCAAATAGGTTCGGTTCGTTAACGGGGATGCGTAAGAAAAAACACTCGGGTCACCTCCGGCAAAGAAACCGCCGACCTTGAACGAGCTAGGATTTCAGCGCCAATCGTGCAACCGGAGCTGCTGTAGCTGTTATTTGTTGTCAGCAATTAGCGAACCCCAGTGCAGATTGCACATGGGTGAGATACCTACAAAGAAAAAGCATACGAGACAAAGACGCTGGAAATGATATATTCCTCGCTTTTGATTGATGTGTAAAGCCCCCTTAAGTCGACGGTGTGTGATTGATGACTCGCTACCCCGGATTAGCGCGCTATAGTAAATTGAACTTGAACGAAATTGGATACGGACCGCCGCTGTTCAATCTCAAAACAACGTTAGGTAATTACTTAGGTTATAAATGTTTTTTGTTTTTGGAAATCACTAGTCAAGGACATCTCGCGGCTTTTCGGAGAGCATCTGTTCGGAGGCTTGGCTAAATGTGCTATTCATCGTATTCCAACAAGAGGTCACGTCTCAAACGGATACTTGCCCGGGCACTTCATGAGCAGTAATTAAAAGCTTCTGTCTCGGACGTCGGACAGCTGACCCGGTCTGTCAGTTACGTCTTCTAATTCATGTATAAGAAAATTTACATTTTTTTTTTTTTAAGTGCGCCTATTATACCTTTTCATTTGTTTAATTTGATTTCGACACTGTAAAGTTACGACGACCGCTGTCGTTTGTATCCGCTACGCCTACAAATTATCAACGTTGTTAAGTCATTTATAAATTAATATATATAATACCATTTTGTACAGAATTAATAGTGCCACAAACGAAACAACGCGCTAACTGAATGCAATAAATTACAACGTCTATCACAACAACCTCGGTTCGTTTCAAGAGCCAAGTTACCGCCATTACAATTTCTTCTGATCAAATTCACAGTCCAACAACAATGTGACGAGGAAGATAATCCATCAAAAGAACGTGTTCTCGTATTATTATTTTTTTCTTAGTTTTAATTTATTCAAAATTGATTAATGTTAATCAGTTATTTCGGTACAACTGGTTCACCTTGGTCTTGTTTTTTTTTTTTTTTCAAAATATTATTATAAACGATCGACCGCACAACCTATGTAGATAATTATGATCATCATCGCACGTTTTTTCTCCGTTCAACGACTAAGTTCGCTGTATTTTCTAATATTCAAGTTCGTTTAGGACTCTCGGCTAATTTGTATCTGCACGATATTGTACATCTAAGCTAATGGTAAGTAAAAATCCGTGAAAAATGTATGTATATGCGGAGAACACATGCCCAGTTATCAGCTACTCATCAGTTACTTAAAAGAAACTGCGTGCTACCCCGAGTCAATAGAGAGTAGACGTTTTTCAATATTTTCAATCTATTCTCTCGGGAAGTTCTGCGATATTCTTAATGGTTCTCTTTGGCGTTCTTTGAAAACGAAACGCATGTGTGTATCTATATAAGATCAACAACAGCGGTTACACAGGTACGTGTAACCAGCCACTATAGGTGGCTCGTGTTATGGAATAACCATTCCCGTTATATTCCATTTTCCCCAGGGCGCCTGCCGTGGACATACACCGAGGCTAACTACGCTGCCAAACAATGCAGCATGTGGGTCGTTTTTCAATCAGCTTCATTCATGCGTTCAATAGTCCTGACAATACACGTTTAGTCTTTAGCGTAATGTGTAAAAAACAACAACGAGGTAATTTCGAGTACAAAAAAAAAAAAAATGACCCGCCCGAGTATATACAACATGCACACCTAATTTTTTACTGTAGTCTCTAGCACCGCATATACATTAACGGCTTTTGAAGTGCCGGGTTTTTATAGTTTATTCACCGCTATTTTATTGCATTAAAACTATACGTAATCCTCCGATAGAAATTGGTGGGAATATATTATTATAGATGTGGGAAGCGCTCTAACAGCGGAAACAGCTGAGGTTTCGGGTTTCCCTGCAACACATGGGCGCATAGTCGATTATACATATTTTTGAAACTCACAAATTCTCCAGACTTTTAAAAGTCAAATTAGATAAATCAGCGTTTATATCGTATGTTTATATGTGGTCTAATGGAGAACGTTCGTATTAGACACCGGTTATACTATGTTTTTCAATGGGCGAGTCAAGTCACGTCGCGATATATATGCATAATATACCTATATATATATATATATTCCTGGTGTACCACGATGCGACGTAGAAGTAAAATATTATAAATAATATTTAATAGAAAATGTATACGATTCTCTAATAATTATAGGTTTAGTAACGAGCAATAATAACAACATTAAAAAATACCAAACAGAAAAAAAGAAATGTTTACAAATTTGCACAGAGAGCAAGGTCATACGATTATTTATGTTTTTAAGCAACATTTAATAGATTTTTTTTACATTGTTACATATTTTATTAAAAAATTATCCGTCCGAAATAGTAGCTTATAAAAATTAGCTTAATTATAATAATAATCTTCATTATTCATTTATCTGCATTCTCACTTAAGCTTAAAAATTATAGAATAAACAATACTTGGGCGTTAAGCTAATCTTGTGAGAACAGTCATTTTTAATTTAGCCAATTACAATTCAAGTACTCAAATGTTTCATACCAATGTTAACCGCAATTATTTTAATTTAAACTATCAAAAATAAATATTGTTCAGATTATTAAATCTTTTTTTTTTTTTAATTACAAAACTTATTTTCATTTTATTGTTAATTTCCCATAAGTAGTGGTGGGCCACTTAATGAAACACTCAGACTACTGTACATTCCAATTTTCTATTTCATTTTTAAAATCAAATAAGTTTTAAAACGCAAAAAGTTGAAAATTTGTATTCGTGAATAAATTTGATAGTATCTACTTTTGTAATACTTTCATTACCTAACGGTTCAAACAAGACCATCCTACAATAATTATAACCTGTACGGTTAAATATCAAGTGTAGCACAAGTATGAATATGGATGTAATCAATTTACTCGTTTTATTTCCGTGCGTTACTGTAGGTCATGAATATTATTCCATTAAATAATGCACTTTAAGAGGGACATAACCTTTCTTAAGGCGAATTGCCCGACAGACGGGTTGCCAAAGTGACACAGTATAGTTTATATATGTTGCGGTAATGGTTATAAAGTATGGTGAATAAATATTTTACATGTTTTATGGGACATAAAATTATTATATTAGGCATAATGCACATACCTCAAATTTCCAGTTTAATCTACGAGGAATAATTATTGTTTATTTTAAATAAGAATTACTAATTAAAATACCATTTTATATTTACCCCTCAACCACGATACCTACTAGACCGTGTATTACCCCAACAAAATACAAATCCCTTATACGTGGAGTAAAGTGACAGCACTCAAGAAACGCTAATAAATCATGCTCGTCTGATATTATTAGATATTTGTTTTGTTTGAGAATACTTAACCGGTTTAATCGTTCGTGTTAAATATTATTAAGGTTTCATTAACAAGATCAACATATTTTTAAGCTTTAAGAGATTATTTTATCTGGATTTGCACGTGACTGTGGTCGAAAAAAGAGAAGAACAATTTTTAATGAAACGTCCAATAAAACATTTTTTGTAAACGATTTCAATTATAAAAACCGTGTACAATTGGAAAATAAATGTATGCCAAATGCACTTACCTGGATTTTTTTTTTTTGCCAATTCCGCTCGCAGTAATCCTAAGGACGGTTCCAAACGATGTCCTCGACGAAACTGTGGAATCAACAAAATCGAAACCGATACCGATCATATAAAAAAAAAAAAAAAATTGACTGATACGCGTGCGAACAATATAATATAATTTTTATCTATGTAAATACAATATTATAATATACACCGCTGACCGGTGCGCGCCGTGAAATGAATGATACGTGCCACGAGGTCTTCGCCGGAGACTGAACCGAAACGCCGAGTAGGATTCCGAACAGGTGTCTTCTCATAACCGTAAAACCTTCCTTTGTCCCCCTCTCCTTTGCCGTGGGTATAGCCGCCTCCCGTTTGGTCGTATTATGCGTGTGTGCGTTATTTTTCGTACTGCCTCGGCTTGCGCACCGGTTGAGTATAGAAAAGAAGAAAAAAAACTACCTAATAACAATATAGTAAAAATGTTAAGAATGCGCGAGCCCCGGAACAAGACACTATTTTGCCGTTTGCCGACACTTAAAAATTGATTTTTTTTTTTTTTCATTGAAACCTTAGCGGATGAAATACGTAGAATGTAGCTTGTCGTACACGGCGTTAAATAAATATTTACATCGCAAATTATTGAAAAAAATACGAGTTATTTGAAAAAGTCAAATACAATTTTATTATAATAAAATAATATTTGAAGTTTTCACTCAAAATATAACTAAAATTGATAAGAAAATAATGAATTGACATAATTGAAATTTTTGTACTGAGGAATCTGCAAATCTTCAGTTTAATTATCTATTTGCCTTTTTCAGAAAGTGAATTACTCACGATAAATCAAATTGCTTTTATAACCTTTCGAAAACAACATAATACATATAACATATTTATTGTGAGTGATGTGTGCTTTTTTAAGACAATATAATGATTAAACTGTAATGTGTGTTTTAATTTATTTTATGGCGGTCAATCTGATTTTGCTAAAATTCACATTGGCTATATTTTGCCTGAACGTAAGCTAGCAGAAATCATCGCCAATTGGTGATACTATAATTAACTATACTGACTATCGAGTTACAATGTTTTGAGTAATTTTATTTTTCTAAAACGGACGAATTCCGAATAACAAAATGATACTGTAGTAGTAGTAGTAGTAGTAGTAGTAGTAGTAGTAGTAGTAGACAGTTATGTAAGACTATCAATTTCAACAATAGTTATAAAATATGCATGATAAAAAATACTATCTTAATATACATTGAAAGCTCTAACATTTGCACATGAAAACATATTGATATTATACTTATTTACTAAAATCATTCATCTGTAAATTGGAGCATTTAGACCACAATTCGTTGATTGGACTGGTACATAAAAAGTATTTAATTGCCTAATATTGAAGTTGTGGACATGAAAATTAAATTTGACAAGTAAATCTGGACAGTAAAAAAATCCATTCACTAGTTTAAAAATATCACAGAGATCCAGTTTTATCCTTTTTACAACTTATCTCCGATGTCTCAAGGTTTAAAAAAGATAGTAAAAACTGATAAGATGAATGAGGTTGATTATTACGTAACTATATTTTTAGGTAATCTGAAGCATTATAAGAAACAATGTTAACGTAATAGGTATTTGTAAACCGTTTTTATAACTCTATATTTACATGCAATAATTATACAGTGAGAATGGGGTTAGTAATTAAGTGCCGTGAGATTATTGACTAATAAAACATACACATATTTATTTAACTAATTGAAAATATGAAAAGTGGTAGCCAGTCAACGGTTATTAAACATCATAATATCTCATAAATCGTTTTTGTAATTAATTACTACGTATATGCAAATAAATGTACAAACAAAATATATGTATTTAATCGAGAGTAACTAAACGGCAATAAAATTGCAATTAACTGGTTCCAATTTATTTCTGAAACTTTCTTTTAGAAAAAAATAACGAGAGTAATTGCATTCGCTTTTAATAATTGGTACAAAAAGAAGTAAAAACTTGAAATGGTTGAAATATAGGTAAATTCAATCATTTAAGTGCTATGAATTTATAGGCTTATAACGTTTACATAATATATAGTACTGGCTTAAATAAATTTCAAAATCGAATAGATTAATAACCACTTTCATTTATACAATTTTTTATCATTATTAAGATTGATGGTTAGCCAGAAAACAGCTTTCAAATTAAAATTTTTTTTTTAATACAATTTGTAAATAAAAGCTAGGTTTTTTATTTACAAGTTTGTCAAGTAATTCAGTTACCTAGCTGTCGTGGAACAATTTAAAATGGAATTTTCTATGATTTTTTAACATTATGTGATGTTTTACATAAACGTGGTTTTTATTAACCACATATTTGCAACGAAGCGGATTGGGTAATTATGTATAGTACATTATTACCTTATCATTTTTTTATCATAGAATAAAATATATATTAATGATTTTCATTTTGATATTATTACAAATTCATTTGACATATGTAAATTTACAATTATATTACTGATATAAAAAAAAATGTAGCTGTTTCTTGATGTAAAAAAAATATTCTTATAATAAAAATTAACTAAATTTTACTCTATCGGCTAACCATCATTAATTTAAAAAATCACTATACGTTTTAAAATTTAATTTAAAATATTTTAACTTTAAAATACTGAACCCTATAAACACTTTTTTAAAAAATGGTCAAAATAATTTCACACTGTAAGAGGTTTTTTTTGTAGATAAAGCATTACCATATGTATTCGAATAATTTGTTATATAGATGAAGTGGTCCACCATCAATTATTTATTGATTAAGAGTTAATTAAAATATTTAAATTTATTTTCTATTTTAGAAAACTACTTCATGTTATTAGATTATTATTATTTTTTTTTTAATTTATTTAAAAAAAAAAAATTATGAAAACATTAAGTATATTTTGTAATTCGTTAGCACAGTTTATTTTTGTATTATTTACAAATGTGTACTTTTTATTCATTATTTTGTATTTATTATTTGTTTGAATGTCAGTATTATCATAATAGATACAATTTTTAAATTATCTATACATAATAAAAAAATAATTACCTTTTATTTATTATTATTTAAATTTTGCTTCCTTTTGCTCGTTACAACAAAATGGATAGACACTTGTGGTGGCCACAAAAACAAACATAAGCTACTGATAAAAACGCTTTCCAAAACAACACTGGAAATATTATATTTTTCTGCGAGTATTGAAATGTTCTAGTAATTTAAAATGTATAAAACATGTATTCACATGTTAATTATACAAATTGTTCACGTTTAATAACTTATATCATTTAGTTTGGTCATTAAAAATAGTATTACTTATTTGTAAAACACCTAAAAAGAATATTATGCTGTAACACAAATAAATATTTTATATTTCATAAATCCACAAAAAGATTAGTACACTGAGAACCAATTTGTATTTTATTATTCCACGTTATTCAAATGACCATTTATATAATTCAAATTTGCATGATACATGGTTAGAAATCAATCACCATTATAAAAAAATATACAAACATGATATAAATATGATATATTATAACCACTACGATGTTGCATAATCGACTTTTTTTAATCAGTAGCTTATGTTTATTTTTGTGGCCACTAGGACCTTCACTTCAATGGGGACGTCAATTACAAACATCTTGAATGCGTTTCAGTGTCGTAACTTTGCAGTTAAAAAATATGCCACTAAACGGGTTACTCAAAAATATTACTGACTTATCATCGAGTTTATTGAGTGAAAAGTCTACGTGGTTTACTTCACTTGTATTGTATACGGTAAGTACTCAAATATTACTCTAGGCAGCGACCTAACCCGACCGTGTTCTACTAACCATACATATTTTTTTAACGTTTCATTTAACTTATCAAAATAATAAATAATAACCTTTTGCCGGTACTTGTGTAACGCGTATGTAACAGTTACTTGATCAATAGGATTGAAATAGTCTTACCGGTACTACTTTAGACTGTCTTGATATCAAAATCAATGAAATCTTAGTGTGAAGTTAGATAATATTGTACTACTAGATTATTAATAGAAAATTTAAAAATTACCTTTCTCGCTCACTATATGTATTACAATTAAATATCAATAAAACTACACTCCTATATTTTTATTGTTTATGTTAAGAATTAAATTTATACGATATCATACGACTTTAAAAAGACGATTCGTAGGATTGATAGCGATTTGCTTAGTTAAAATATTATGTTTAGAAACACATTTAGGTAGTAACTCGGTTTGAAAACCTTAAAATTAAATAAATATTAGATATTTTTTTTTACTTACGAAACTTGTATACGTTAACCAAAAAAAAATGCTTTAAATGTGTAAACGAGTTTTGTATGTATAAGGTCTGACGACAAATTTTTTTAGAAGTATCTAGTATAAAATATTTTTGCTTTGTTTTTGAGACATTAATGATAGGTATTAGGTATGATTATTATAGTTTTGATAAAAGTATTTATTTACACACATAAACATACATAAATAGCCAATTAAAAATAACAGAACTAAATACAAAACGCTTCTCATTAAAATGAGATAACATTAATGATTCAATAAAGACCCTCTTTAAACCAAAAAAGTGTACTCAAATGATTTGAATTTTATTGAAATCGTGTCAGCTCATTCAATAGTATTACTCAGTGATATTTTGTGCTAGCCAGGTCGTCGCGTTCCAACGCGTTTTCCTTACGGTTTATTAATTTCTTAACTGATCACGACCAATTATTCAGTGTAGGGCGCAAATGTATTCTTGTTAGATCTATTCATAGTTTCAAATAGCTAAAATATCATGTCGAGTACCGTACGTTTCAATATACAAGTACAATACATTTTAGAAAAAAACGCTGGTTAAAAGGTTTTAAAATAGGTATGTAAATACACAAAAATAAACATTCATTATGTTTTATCCTTTTTATTTTATTCTTATACATAGAAACGATTCAAAACCATACCTTTTGTTAAACAAAATAATAATGTAGTATTGTTATAGTAGTAGCATTGTCTAAATAGTGTAGATTTTGTTGGTAACAGCTTCAAAATCTTGAAATAAAAATTCCCATCAAACTTTTGTATTTTCTTACAAATTTTTACAAACCATGTAATCAGGAATAAAACTAAATATTACAATATTTTCCAACAATTCTAAAGGTTCATCATAAAAAAAAGATTCAATTTACTACAAGGTCTAAATTATAGTTTTTAAAGACGTTATCCTTCCCTGAATAAAAAAAATAG